GTGTAAGCTTCCATTTGTAATCAGCAAAGGAGTGGGGAAAGATGACAGTGAGATAGAATTAGTGTTTGGGACAGGATCGGTGTTTAAGGAAAAAATCTAAGAAAAGTCACTAGCCGAGTGATCCAAGGTCCAGATTCACTTAAATTCTCTCCCTGAATTGATAAGTTGAGTAGAAAGGAGGGGTTTTAAGGAATGTGACATCAAGACTAACAAAAGTACGATATGATATGGGATCATAACACTTGTAAACACATTTTGTAGATCGAGGTTTTAGTTTAGTCCATTGGTGTGTATAGACATATACAAATGCTATTAAGCTAAAGATTGAGAGGAAGAGTGGAACTAAGTTGAGAGTGAGGAAAGGCATCTTGAAATCTTTGAAGAGGGGTAACAAAGGAAAGGACTCGACCAGGCAGCTTAGCATGATGCTAGTGAACATTAGGCATGAGCTCCATCAAGGATGTGTTTAATTCTCTGTTTGACAACCCCATTTTAATGAGGGATATCGACATATGAACTTGGTGAATGATGCCATGTTCATGAAGATAGAGACTTAAACGTCGATTGAAATATTCAATACAATTTTCAGATAGTAAAATTTGTATTTTGGTGTTGAACTATGTTTGCATCATGGAGTGAAAATTGATAAAAACCAATATTTTCAAAATTGGAACGGCTGGCCGGAAAATTCGTAAATCGGCCAACTAGACGATCTAACCATAAAACCAATCAACTCGGAAATTGTTATGATGATTTAACCTTGGTTTTTTCTTATCAAATTTTTATTCCTATCGACAATTTGAAAAATTTCTTTACTAGGCCCAAGCTATAAGACCAAAATGGTGTATCTAACTGAATAGTGGCCAGTCTTTTTCATATCCAATTTCTTTAGTATGGTAGTTCAACACAATCGATGTGGGATTGGGAGAGTAGTGGTTACAAGGTACCTATCAAAAAAATAGTAATATTTACAAGGTGGAATTGGCTTTTTCTTTTTCTTTGTGAATTTGATTACTTTTTTATTCAATTTTTCCTTATTTTCTCATTTATTTATTATAATAACAAATTAAAATATCAAAAAAATATTTAATTGACTCAACTATTACTTTTATCTATATTTGTTATCTTATTTTTTAATGATATTAACCCTGAGAGGTAGATTAGTGGTCAGACATTGAGTTTACTCCTCAATGGTCACCAGTTCGAGCCCCCTCAAGACCACTAAAGTGAGTACTCGACTGTAAATTTTAGGGTCCTGTGGGATTAGTTGAGGTGCGCGTAAATTGGTCCGGACACCCATGGTTATAAAAAAAAAATATATTTTTTAATGATATTAGAAGTGGGAACTAATAAAAATTAAAAATTAATTGCTATCATGTTTGTTAAGTGATTGTTATATCTATAGATAAGTTATTTTGAAAAAAATAACATTTTATGTCAAATTTTGTTATATATTATTAAATTATTATTTATTATTAGAGGTTCAACCTCAGTTCGGACTCATTTTGACCTTTCGAGAATTAACCCTATAGCTTTTCTGAGTCTATGATCGGGTCGATTTTGAAAACATTTATAAAATTAGAACGGACTTCAGTTTTATCGTTCAGCAAATAGACGCAATAAATTCGTGTATGGTCATTTATGAATGTGATGAACCATTTTAGAACGATCTCAAATATCACTGTGAATTATTATGAAAGGCTTAATGGGTTTGTATGTAGACTTTGGAAGCAAATTTACACACTTTATATTGAATATCAATAGACATTTTATTGGAATAAAGAGCGGGAAATGAATGTCGTAAATACTAAAAATTGGGATGGCTCATCCTAGAATGCTATAAAAGGATTTCACAATACTTAGAGGAAGAACAGAATCATAGACATTTTTACACCGATTACTTACTTTAGCTTGCTCAAAGTAGTAGAGTACTCACACTCTGTAGCGATGTCAATCACCGTCCTCTATAATAGGCCATGAAAGACCCAATGAGAGGAAAGGAATTTAGCTGACCAGTTGGAGTGCTGATTTATATACAACGGATTACGAGATAATTTTGAAAAGTGTAGGACTAAGTTTAAAGTGATAAAGACGAAGATACAGACACTTAAAAATACTTTGCTTGCAATAGGAAAAAGGGATCCATCTGCAATTTTTACTTTCATATTTTTGATACACGGTGAATATATTGAAAATAGATGATGAGAATCAATCCTATGGTAAGATGTTCCTGAGCTTATAATCAGGGAGTATGAGTACGAGAGGTGGTTAAAGCTTTCAAGGGATTACCTCTATTGGCTAAGGAATCAGAAGGATTTTTTTTTTGATGATTGACCTGAGGATTGAAGGGTACCAATCATCTCCATGGTCTTTTTTAATTGATCAGTATCTGACGTGCTGCTGCATGGAGTGGAATGGGTGTTTTTCTCCCCTGCTGTTTTTCAGTTCGACTCATGTGAGTTTCCAAAGTCATCAATTCCTGGCTATTGAAGGAGGTTTCCATCATTGTTAGCTTTGTTTAGGAGAAAACCGGCTCGGATACCATAAAATCAGAATGATTTATTTTGCTTTTCTTGAATGAATTATACACAACCTATTACACCCTATTTACAATACAACAATAAAGATAAAAGGGAAAAATAATCTGCTAATTTAGGAGATAAGAAATTAGCCTAACAATCAGCCTAAGTTATGGAATGATTTAATCAATCATATATCAATCATGATCAATCTCTAGGATTTCTAGAATTATAATTGTGTTGCTTTTGCTATTTGCTTCTTTTCTGGATGGTTAATTCTACAGAAGTAATCCAATTTTTCATGTTTATCCAAGCGATACAGCAAATGATGCTGAGAAATTTAAATTTATAAAGGACATGGAAATTAAAATACCATTTTCTTGGAAAGAACAGTGTGTCAATAAGAACCGGAAATCGTTATTTGCTAATTTTTCTTATTGCATCTTTCTGAACTGGAAACAGAATGATGTAATCTGTTTCTTATATTCCAGCTAGTTGTATAGAATTGTGACACAGCTTTTCCATATTTACTTCATTCATGAAGTAAACTTTCCTTGAGAAATTTAAGTTAAATTCGGAAACATGATTCTTTTGGAAACATAATGACGTCCATTGTTTTTCCACTTCCCTCTACTGACTAAAATTTCTGGTTAATATTTTTTCTTGTTTTTTAACATTGTTTTGGAAAATGAGTTTTTGAAGATCCTTCTAACATAGCATTAAAATGTATCTTTTGCTGTATATATGTTCGGATTTTTGTCTATGTTTCTGACATTAAGAGGTGTCTTGCAGGCAGAAAAGAGAGATGTCATCAGATTACAGGAACAGGTGATTTTTTTCTTGACACTTGTATTGTAGTTGCATAGTGTTGAAATGACTTAATTCTTTGCGTTCAGTATTTTGTCCGGACAGTGATCGGTATCCATGAGAAGTTCATGGGATACGTGAGTGAATGTTTTCTAAATCACACTCTCTTCCACAAGGTTAGAACTATTAAAAATACTGCACCATTTTTCCAATCAAGTCCTTTGGCACCATAATTAACATGACTTCCTATTCTTATATATCTACTCTAGGCCATCAGAGAGGCCTTTGAAATCTTCTGCAACAAGGGCTTTGCTGGGAATTCTAGTGCTGAACTTCTTGCTACATTTTCTGATAATATTCTCAAAGAGGGTGGCAGTCAAAATTTGAGTAATGAAGCCATCAAGGAGGCTTTGGAAAAGGTGTGGTTCTTGTACAACTGTTTTAGTGTGCTGACACTGTCTTCAATCTGCTGAAAGTTGATGTTGACGCTCCCTCTTTTTATTTTGCAGGTTGTAATGCTGCTTGCTTATATTAACAATAAGGATCTATTTGCTGAATTTTATAGGTAATGTTCTAATTTATTGGTTGGTTAATAGGCTTTAATTTGGTAAGAATGTAGTGAATTTTAAACACTACTGGTCACTGAACTTACAGCAGAATTCTGTGTTGGTTGCTAAACTTCATTATGTTACCAGTCAGTGACTGAATTCAACTTTGTTTTTAGATGCTAAATTTATATATTTATTACTATTTGGTCATTTCTTATCCGCCTACTAGTTTGACTTGAAGAAAAACTGATCCACAATCTATTTGGCAAATAACTACACTGCCACGTCAAAATGGATGTGGTGACCAAATTGTAACAAAGTTTAGATCCAACAGCCAACTTTCAACAAAATGAATTCTAGTTATCACCAGTGTATTTAACCCTATATTAAGATGACTATGCATTGATTATATTGACAGGAAAAAACTTGCTCAGCGGCTATTATTTGACAAGATTGCCAATGAAGAGCATGAGATAAGTATGCTAAAAAGGTTGCAGCAGCGATATGGTGGTCTATTTACATTAAAAATGGAGAGAATGGTTAGCTCATATTATCTATATGCTGAATCATAGCTCTCGTCGTGATCTTAATATCACCTCCGTTTCACCTTTTTCAACTATTCCAGGTCTCAGATTTAACACTAAAAAGAGAAAATCAAACCAGCTTTGAAGAGTATCTTAGCAATAATCCAAATGCAAGTCCCGGGATTGATTTAAATGTTACTGTCTTGACTGCTGGTTTCTGGCCAAGTTACAGCTCCTTTGATCTTAATCTCCCTGCTGAGATGGTATGGATGTATGCAAAGTCTCTTTTTAATGGAATAGATCATTTGACAGTCATATTTTTTTTTATTACTATGAACTTCTGTGTTAGGTCAAGTGCGTTGAAGTATTTAGAGACTTCTACCAGCTGAAAACGAAACACAGAAAACTAACATGGATATATTCGTTGGGTACTTGTGATGTCAACGGAAATTTTGAGCAAAAAACTATAGAGCTGATGGTGACAACCCACCAGGTGATTTAATATGGCTAACTCGTGATTGATATTACTTGATGATTGAAAGTTCTTTCCCTTTTTGTAGGCTGCTGCACTGCTTCTGTTCAATTCCGGATATCAAGTCACTTCAGATGTCTAAATGTATTGTGTTGATTTAGTTTATTTTGGCAACGGCAAGCTATATCAGAACTGAATTGCAGCGTTCTAATTTGTTGAACTTGTGCTGGTATAAACATGACAAAGAACCAGCAGAACACTACTGATCTAGAACGGGGATGGGACTTTTTGCAGCAAGGAATCACAAAGCTGAAGAACATTTTAGAAGGGTTTCCAGAGCCACAATTCAGCTCGGAGGAATATATGATGCTCTATACGTATGATCTTTTATACTCCATCTTGTTAGTTTAGTTTTTGATATCATTGGGGATGATTATCTTGTGTACTGTTTCTCAGTTTCCTAAATCTTTTCTACAGGAGAATTTATAACATGTGCTTTGAAAATCCCCCTTGTGAGCAGCAATTGTATGACAAATACATGGAGTCGCTTGAAGAGTACATTACTTCAACGGTTAGGCTAAGACCATTTCCTTCATTTGGTTGGAGCGACAAAGTTGTGTTTATTGCATACTGATGCAAATTGTACATTTCATATATTAAAATTTAGCTGAAGGCTGATGCTTTATCCATAATGACAACAGTGCACGTTGTAATGTTGTATTTCTTTTTCACTTCTCAGTTGGTGTTCTTGAAAAAAAAAGAAAAAAAATAAAAAAATCATTGTTCCTACTAATTTAATCAGGCTGCAGTTCGTTCCTTAATAACTGACATAGGTCTCTCATGTCTCAAGCTTATTCTATCTTGAGTTTATCATTGTGCCCCATAGCTCTTTTATTTTAATTCTTTGTGGTGTTTATTCTTGAGATGGTCCTAACGATTTGCCCTGATCATTGAAAGGCTAAAATGTTGATGAATTCCTTATTCTAATAGCCAATAAAATACTAGAGCTTGTGCCAGTAACACGTCATTTCATTAGTTCTATTCTCTAACTAACGTCCACATGCATAAGGATTCTTGTGTTCTGTTTGCCGTACTACCAACCACATGCATGAGGGTTCTTGTGTTTTGTTTGCTGTATTACCAACTCAACACTCAATCATCCAATATATCTCATTAATGTTTTGTGTGTGTTGGGGGGTGGGGGTGGGGGTCCTCTTTTAACTTAAAATGTAATTATTATGTGCATGAAGTAGAAGGCTATGCCGATGTCGCACCATTTAGATGCTTAACATAGCTCCACCATTTATTATGTGCTTTTGTGCACCCTCATCCCAGCCCCCCTCTTTCTTCCTTGACCGGTTTGAATGCCTAAAAACCATTTCAAATGAATACCTGAATGAAGAACTTTTGGGAAACTCTGTAGCATCATTGTGCATTCAAATATGTTTTTAAGTTTCATTCCAATGCAGTCACTGATAAATGGCCTATAGAATTTCTGGGATGAATTATTTGAACTCGAAAACTAGGATCAGAGTACCAATTCCTGTTTATCTAATTTACTTCTATTTGTTGTTCAGTCTCTAATTATCATCAGTCTTCTCTAAATGTTTCATTTCCTTGTGTTTTGTTTTTCATTTAGGTACTGCCTCCACTGAGAGAAAAACACGAAGAATTAATGTTAAGGGAGCTTGTGAAAAAGTGGTCAAACTATAAAATCATGGTCAGGTGGTTCTCAAGATGCTTCAGTTATCTTGATTGGCACTTCATTCCTAGGAGGTCGCTCCCACCCCTCGAAAAAGTTGGTCTCACTTGCTTCAGAGACCTGGTAACTTTCGATTGTATACAATGTTGTTTTCTTGTTTATTTATATTTATATGTTTCTGTGTTGAATTTCACTCTCTGCTGTCTGAGAAACTGGTAGTTGCCACTGAGTAGAAGTAGTTGCTCATTCCTTGGTTCTTTTTGTGTCTTGCTTATTTTATTTTCTATATGTTGTACCCTTTTACATATCCTGTTTTCAGTTATGTTTCTAGGAAATGTTGGTTTCTAAATTCTAATTTCAGGTATACCAAGAGTTAAATGCAAAAGTAAGGGATCAAATTTTATCTCTGGTATGATATCTGTGAGATCTACAATTGTTTCCATGTCATTTGCATTTTCTGTTCTGTGGTCAACAATTTTCTTCTACTAGATTGATCGAGAGCGAGAAGGAGAGCAAATTGATCGTGCTTTATTGAAGAATGTATTAGATATATTGGTGGAAATTGTAATGGGGCAGATGGAGCATTTTGAGAAGGATTTCGAAGCAGCATTGCTCAATCAAACTGCAGCTTATTATTCTCAGAAGGCTTCAAGCTGGATAGTCGACGATTCATTTTCAACCTATATTTTAAAAGTAAGCATTCCTTTTCATTTTAACAGAACCCCCAAAAGAAAAAATTATAAGGGTAATAAAATATAACACATGTACACACAATTGGAAAGAAGGGGGAAAAGTTCGGAATGGAAATTTAGTTGCTTCATGGTTTATATTAATCTTTTTGGCAAATCCAGGTTGAGAAATGTTTAAAGAAGGAAAAGGACATGGCTTCTCATTGTCTTCATTCAAGCAGCGAGACTAAGTTTCTTGAGGTTTGTCCTGCTCTTAAAAATGGTTGATGGTTTGGTGGAGCATTTTGATTTGTTTAAGTTTGAGGGTTGGTTTCCGTCTATGAAATTTTTCATCTTATGATCATATATATATTTTTTGTTTGTTCCTGTAGATAGTAAAGCATCAGCTGTTATCCGTTTATGGCCCCCAACTATTGGAGAAGGGGATCTTTGCTGGTGATATCTTGCATAGAGATGATAAGGTACACATATTGCTGTTGCTGCAAGTGATGGAATTCTTTTATTTGATTTCAATCCATTGAAGTCATCCATATACTTTTTGGTCCACAGACAAAGGATTTTTCAAGATTGTACAGGCTCTTCTCCGATGTACCTCGGGGTTTACTGCCTGTTGCTAATCTATTTAAGCAGGTTGTGATCTGCTTCAGTCCTTTAAAAGTCAACTTCTATTTTTCAAGTCATCTTGCATAGAGATGATAAGGTACACATATTGCTGTTGCTGCAAGTGATGGAATTCTTTTATTTGATTTCAATCCATTGAAGTCATCCATATACTTTTTGGTCCACAGACAAAGGATTTTTCAAGATTGTACAGGCTCTTCTCCGATGTACCTCGGGGTTTACTGCCTGTTGCTAATCTATTTAAGCAGGTTGTGATCTGCTTCAGTCCTTTAAAAGTCAACTTCTATTTTTCAAGTTCCCTGTTTCTAATATATAATGGTATCTTGAGTGCAGTATGTTACTGCTGAAGGTACACTGTTGTTTAAACAAGCAGAGCACGATGCAAGCAACAATAAGGTTTGTAACTTTATTTTCTATTAACTGATATTTTCTTTCTTTTTTGTTTTTTTTTTTCACTCTCTCTTTTAAGAGTGTATTGCTTGGGGAAATAAGTTTCTTGTATATATGGTTCTGTAAACATTAAAGTTTCTTATGTACTATTCACTTGTAGAAAATAATTTGTCTAATATGTTTTGTTGAAGTTTGCATTACTATTGGGTCTTTAACGTGTGGCAGGGGCAGTTGTTAATCCACCATATATGATGATGAAGTGGAGGAAAGTATTATTGAAATAAGAACGATTTATTTCTGTATTTCTTGAATTAATTATACATGTATATTACGCCATACTTATAGTACAACAATAAAGACAAAAAAAGGAAAAATAAAATTCAGGAGAAAAGAAATTAGTCTAACAATCAGTCTAAGTGATGGAAAGATTTAATAAATCATATATCAATCATGATCATTCTCTAGGCTTTTTATACCACTCATCAAGTTGGATTATATACATTGGTTGTATCCAACTTGCTGATGAAATCATCAAAATTGTGCCTTGATAATCTTATGTTGAAGATGTCCGCTATTTGTTCTTTTTGTAGAAACACAGGTCATACAAATAACTCCATCTTCTACCTTTCCTTTCATGAGATGTCTGTATATTTCTATATGCTTAGTTCGGTCATGTTGAACACGATCGGAAGAAATGTTGATTGTTGATTTGTTTTCACAATAGAGTTCGATTGGTAATATTGTAGTGGCCTATAGTTTTTCTGAAAGTTTATTTAATCACAACCCTTCATATATCCCTTGTACACCAACTTTGAACTCAGCCTCAGCATTATTTTAGGCTAATACATTCTATTTGAGACTTAAACGTCGATTGAAATATTCAATACAATTTTCAGATAGTAAAATTTGTATTTTGGTGTTGAACTATGTTTGCATCATGGAGTGAAAATTGATAAAAACCAATATTTTCAAAATTGGAACGGCTGGCCGGAAAATTCGTAAATCGGCCAACTAGACGATCTAACCATAAAACCAATCAACTCGGAAATTGTTATGATGATTTAACCTTGGTTTTTTCTTATCAAATTTTTATTCCTATCGACAATTTGAAAAATTTCTTTACTAGGCCCAAGCTATAAGACCAAAATGGTGTATCTAACTGAATAGTGGCCAGTCTTTTTCATATCCAATTTCTTTAGTATGGTAGTTCAACACAATCGATGTGGGATTGGGAGAGTAGTGGTTACAAGGTACCTATCAAAAAAATAGTAATATTTACAAGGTGGAATTGGCTTTTTCTTTTTCTTTGTGAATTTGATTACTTTTTTATTCAAATTTTCCTTATTTTCTCATTTATTTATTATAATAACAAATTAAAATATCAAAAAAATATTTAATTGACTCAACTATTACTTTTATCTATATTTGTTATCTTATTTTTTAATGATATTAACCCTGAGAGGTAGATTAGTGGTCAGACATTGAGTTTACTCCTCAATGGTCACCAGTTCGAGCCCCCTCAAGACCACTAAAGTGAGTACTCGACTGTAAATTTTAGGGTCCTGTGGGATTAGTTGAGGTGCGCGTAAATTGGTCCGGACACCCATGGTTATAAAAAAAAAATATATTTTTTAATGATATTAGAAGTGGGAACTAATAAAAATTAAAAATTAATTGCTATCATGTTTGTTAAGTGATTGTTATATCTATAGATAAGTTATTTTGAAAAAAATAACATTTTATGTCAAATTTTGTTATATATTATTAAATTATTATTTATTATTAGAGGTTCAACCTCAGTTCGGACTCATTTTGACCTTTCGAGAATTAACCCTATAGCTTTTCTGAGTCTATGATCGGGTCGATTTTGAAAACATTTATAAAATTAGAACGGACTTCAGTTTTATCGTTCAGCAAATAGACGCAATAAATTCGTGTATGGTCATTTATGAATGTGATGAACCATTTTAGAACGATCTCAAATATCACTGTGAATTATTATGAAAGGCTTAATGGGTTTGTATGTAGACTTTGGAAGCAAATTTACACACTTTATATTGAATATCAATAGACATTTTATTGGAATAAAGAGCGGGAAATGAATGTCGTAAATACTAAAAATTGGGATGGCTCATCCTAGAATGCTATAAAAGGATTTCACAATACTTAGAGGAAGAACAGAATCATAGACATTTTTACACCGATTACTTACTTTAGCTTGCTCAAAGTAGTAGAGTACTCACACTCTGTAGCGATGTCAATCACCGTCCTCTATAATAGGCCATGAAAGACCCAATGAGAGGAAAGGAATTTAGCTGACCAGTTGGAGTGCTGATTTATATACAACGGATTACGAGATAATTTTGAAAAGTGTAGGACTAAGTTTAAAGTGATAAAGACGAAGATACAGACACTTAAAAATACTTTGCTTGCAATAGGAAAAAGGGATCCATCTGCAATTTTTACTTTCATATTTTTGATACACGGTGAATATATTGAAAATAGATGATGAGAATCAATCCTATGGTAAGATGTTCCTGAGCTTATAATCAGGGAGTATGAGTACGAGAGGTGGTTAAAGCTTTCAAGGGATTACCTCTATTGGCTAAGGAATCAGAAGGATTTTTTTTTTGATGATTGACCTGAGGATTGAAGGGTACCAATCATCTCCATGGTCTTTTTTAATTGATCAGTATCTGACGTGCTGCTGCATGGAGTGGAATGGGTGTTTTTCTCCCCTGCTGTTTTTCAGTTCGACTCATGTGAGTTTCCAAAGTCATCAATTCCTGGCTATTGAAGGAGGTTTCCATCATTGTTAGCTTTGTTTAGGAGAAAACCGGCTCGGATACCATAAAATCAGAATGATTTATTTTGCATTTCTTGAATGAATTATACACAACCTATTACACCCTATTTACAATACAACAATAAAGATAAAAGGGAAAAATAATCTGCCAATTTAGGAGATAAGAAATTAGCCTAACAATCAGCCTAAGTTATGGAATGATTTAATCAATCATATATCAATCATGATCAATC